ATGAGACGTCACGGTCAGACTTTGTTGACAGTCGGTCTGTCCTGTCATAACGTTAAGAAGTGTAGTCAGATGTACACAAAGCGAGAAAACGAAACAAGGTAAGAATTCGAACATATTTCGGCCAAATCCAACTATTTTAGTTTGTGGAGAAGGTTTCAAGCCGCAGAGGGTTACAAGCACAGATATGGCTCTTGATCCCGCTTGGCTAGGCCCCGTGCCCTCGCAAAATTGTTCGAAATTAATATCTCCAAAGTTGCTAAAACTTATAAAATGCCTTAGCTACGTCACAGTTAGACACTGATTTTCAGTATATTAGACTGTTCTTTTGAAAATGATAGCAATCATCCCTGTAGTTTATCCAGATTCGCGATGGTTAATTCTGACTTGATCGCCGAATGACGAGGGGGACGCCATGTTTGTTTATATAAACAGCGAAAGTAGTCCCTACTTGACCTTTGATATTTGCATCTCTATCCGCATATGACCCCAACGGATATCGTTTTTATCCGTTGGCTTTATCCTGCCGAGAAACCTACTCATTGTATGATAAATGTGTATAAATGTGAGCAACACAACAGCGAGGGGCACAATGTATTATGTCATTCCTCGTGCACCCACAGTGTGACGTCATGTTATTATGACAAACCTTCAGTCATCGTCACCTGGAAAGCGGAACGTTTTGATAAATATTTTGTAGACCATATGAATTATGGGAGCTTCATTCTAACTACCGATAGCCTTCTAGAAGGAGAAGTGGAAGCAGATGAGTAGAAGGAGGAGAAGGCGGGGGGGGGGGGGGGGGGGGGTGAGAAAAAGGAGAAGCAGCAGAAGGAGGGGGAGAAGAAGAAGAAGCATAAGAAGAAGCAGGTGACGACTAAGGAGGAGAAGAAGGATAAGAAGAAGCAGAGGAGACGAATAAGGAGGAGGGGAGAAGAAGCAGAAGAAGAAAGGGGGGAAGGAGGGGGGGAAGAAGAAATATATTGGAACGATCTATGTTCAAATGACTTCTGTTTTGTCAGAGTACTGTTGAGGAGGATCTTAATGTCAGAGCTAAGACTCCTAGTTGGAGTGTACATTGAGATTAAGTCTGTGAGACATGCGGGGCTGTACCGTGATAGTATTGATAGATTATGGACAAGATCTTAAAGTCTACCCTCTCAATGACAGGTAGCCAGTGTAGTGACTTCAGCACTGGTGTGATGTGTGCGTGTTTTTTGGGTACGATTTTTAATCCTATTTGCCGTGTATTGAACAGATTGTAGTCTAGAGAGGAGGTATGTTGTGATGTTGCGAACGGACTGTTGCAATAATCAAGTCTTGAAATGACAAAAGACTTTACAAGAAGATGCGCTGCTTCGTTTGACAGACTGCGAATGTTACCATTATTTCGTAGATGGCGTTTGCATAATTTTGCAAATTTTCGTTATTTGATTCTCCATTGTGAGGCCAGGCTCCAGATAAACCCCAAAGGTGTTAGCTGAATCAGATTAGTACTAATCCCAGCCAAATCTCTTTTGGCGTTGGCACCAATCAACAAAGCCTCAAGTCTTGCTGTCATTCAGCTTCAGTCTGTCATCCACTATTTGACAAGTTTTTGACGGCATTCAATCCGGTTCAGTTCCACTTGCATCAGATCGGAGACAACTTTTCGATCGCTGATTATCATCTGCATTACTATGGTGGTCTTTGTTATAATAATGGCAATCATTTCAAAAGCAAAGCGCAAAAATTACTAACGAATAGATCTAACAGACTGAATACTGGCTGGTCACCGACCACACTGCAGAATATGTGTTTAGATCCTAAGCACAAACCTAAACACGTTCCTTGTCTAAACATGTTTATGTCTAAACGTGTTTAGGGTCTAAATGTGGTTGGTTTGGTTATTGGATTGTTGTTTTACGCGGCACTCAGCAATATTCCGGCTATATGACGGCGGTCTGTAAATTATCGAGTCTGGACCAGACAATCCAGTGATTAATATCATGAGCATCGATCGACGCAATTGGGATCGATGACATGATTCATCCAAGTCAGCGAGCCTGACCTCCCGATCCCGTTAGTCGCCTCTTGCAACACGTATAGTCGCCTCTTACAGCAAGCATGGGTTGCTGAAGACCTATTCTACCCGGATCTTCACGAGTCGTCTAAATGTGGGAAAGACCCGTATTTTCTTTATTCTAGTCCTTGACGCTACCACCTTTGTTACGGAGGCTGTTGTCCACACAGATATCAATTTTCCTAGTCAACATTAACTTAGTTTCGTTTATTTGTACATTTTATGTTAATATCGTATCAAGTTTGTTGAAAATCCTAGTGGCACATGTGTAATGCAAGTGCCTGTGTATCTGATTTGAATATCTAACTTTAATACATATTATACATCTTGTTAATATTTGACCTTAGATTTGCACTTTGTTTAAACACGTTTAAACACGTTTAAATTCCAAACAAGTTAAAACGCGTTTAAAATCTAAACATGTTTAGAGTATGGGGATGTGGTGTTTAAGTGGTGTTTAGGCTGTGAGACGAGGTGAGGTGAGGTGAAATTGGGTTTAACGTCGCGTCCAAGATTATTGCACTTAAATAGCGACGTGCATGCATGTGTGTGTGGCTGCTTGTACTAGTCCGGACTGATGCCGATTTATAGTGCTAGCCCACTGAGATACCATGCCGCAGTTTAACATGAATACCCCATTCAGACACAGTATACTGACTCCGAGCCGATCAGTCCTTGTTTTAGCCCCTTAATGCCGAGCGCCAGACAGGGTAACAACAAGTACCATCTTTTAACGTCTTTTGGTATGACGCGGCCGGGGATTGAACCCCGGACCTTCCGCTCTCCGGGCGAACGCTCTACCACTAGACCACGGAGGCGGTCGGCTGTGAGACGAAAGTTCATTTCCTTTGTTTAGACCCTTAAAGTGTTTAGATAGGACACACCAAATGTGTATTCCGTATATTATGTAAACACATATCCTAAACCTGTTTAGATCAAAACGTGTTTCGTGTGTGTTTACATTATTTACATCTATTTTTATACAATCGCCATAACACACTGAATGCATATATCACATATACATAGAATGATATCACGGATTAATCTGATAAATGTCGGAGAGTTGATCAAAGCGTAACGCCATCTGGTGCTCTCACTCATCACATTCGGAGGGGGCACGGGTGGCCCATTCGTCTAAGGCGCCGCGATTCGCTGTGCAGAGTTGCGTCCCTTAGGCAGGCCAGAAACCTATGATTGTGGGTTCGAATCCCGGTTCGCCCCGGTTATGTTTCTAGGTTTGTCAGCACCATTCCCGTGCTCGTGGGTTTCACCAAAGTGGTAAACGTCTGAGACCTGCATCACTTCGGGCTTTCCTCCCACATTAAGCTGACACGCCGTGATATGACTGAAATACTGTTAAAAGCGGCGTTAAACCAAACTCACTCACTCACTCATCACATTCGGATGTGTAGTTGTCCCTTCTGACATGTGTGATGAAAACTAAGAAAGAACTTCATTGATTCTAATATTGACCTTCATATAAATAAATTGCAACTGATTCAATGGCATTTGATTGGTTAACCAAGCTAATAAATTTGCGTTTATGTATTCATACACCGAAAAATTAATTAGGCCACGCCTACTTATGGTCTGTTGTTTTCGTATTGGATGATTATAGAATGGGCGGGGCTTGTGTTGCATAAAGTGCTGAGCGATGTCACTAATTTCGTATTTTGTTGCTCAGTGTTATCCCTTGTAGTTCGTTGTGAATAAATAAGCAATATGTGAAGTTATTATTGTATGTGTATTTATTTATGAGAATTGGCTGCAATATTTTGTAGCGTTTATGGAGTTATAAACGAAGAATCCGGTGAGCTCACTAACTTATCGTAAATCCGCTCCCGGGTGCAAACCGGCTTTTACGTGTATACCTCCATAATGGCTGTCAACTTCTTTATTATGAGGAACAAAACGTTTCGGTGTATATGCTTACTCCTTTACCGGGTTGCTAGGATGCAGAGAGCATATATACCGTATTCGACGTAATAAGCGCCCAGGGAAACTAACAGGGGAAGCCATGAGGAAAATTAGCACTGACTGAAATAAGCAAGGGACAAGTGGAAGCCAGCTGGATAATTTGTCTTGATATGGGATAATGCCATAGACAGATGGTGGCACAAATAAATTAAATCAATGTATTAAGTCCCAAGCACTAGGCAGCACTGGTCACGTTACGTGGCTAGATGGCTGGTATCTCCTGATATCATTGGCCTCTTGTACTTTCCTTTGACGCCATGGCAGTTGTTGTTGTTGTTGTTGTTGTTGTTGTTGTTGTTGTTGTAGTCTTGGTTCTTGATGTGTTCGGAAATGGCGGATTTCTGGTCAAGTTTGTTGACAGAGGTTAAAGGGTTTCCCCAATGAACCTGCATGGTATACACCTCTTCTGGGGTTGGAATTTCCGTTGCTGGTGTCTTTGCCATTGGCTCGGAGATGGGTTTTGATGGTCTTTCCACCAAAAAAAGGTGACATCTATGCTGGCTTTGTCCTTGATGAGGCGGGAAATCTGATGACCCCAATCTGACTCAAACCTGTCCCACCGCCCATCAGAATCACAAATTCTATGTCTTACAAAACGTCAACGCCAGGGTGTGATAAGTCTCACGTCGTTCATGTATGCATATCGATATCTACTAAGCGTTTCTTTCCGTTTTGAGGAGTGTCTGGTTTCTGATCTAGGCGTCTGATTTCCGCGGTAACCATGCAAGTCTAACCCATATTTCATCAGTTTGTTATCTAGGTCGTCAATAACAATAGCTTCAAACTTTGACCATCTGATGCAATAAACACTTTATAAACACAATCCAAGTTGCTTTGTGAATATAATTATATACAGAATTGTCAGTTCTAACCATACCTCTAAGTGTCGTTTTATTAATATTCTAGATCTACTTGGGAAAATCATCGGTGCTGGTAAACACAGGACAGGCCCTGTAAAAAAAGGTTTTTAACCGGTATGCATCATTCAATATTGCAATAGAGTAGCCTCCCTTAGAAATATTGTGAGCCTTTAGACCGAGCCTTTACATCAGGTACTTCGATATCCATTACACATATATACAGGTAAGAGGAATGGAGACTCTTGAAATACTTGTCAGAGTACGTCTTTCACATCGTGTAATGAAGTATTTATCGCCGTTTTATTGATCTGTATATCGCAGGGCAGGATTTAATCAGTTGACATCGTAAATGGACTTGAAATTGACCTTTACCTGTTTCTCTGTGCTAACGAAATATCTAGTTTCATTTTCTGAGGACTTCAGAGCTGTATCCCGGGATCGTTTTGTCCATTTCCACTACATCTAGACGTTTGAATGTAGTAAACTGAGACATTGTATGTATGTAGGCTATTTATTATAAGTTAGATTCATATATGCTGAGTGTATGGGTAGGCCTACACTAGGCAACAGACACAGAGGTATTTGAACGACTTGAATCAAATTTTCTAGGCCAATTGTTGACTCGAGCTTCGTCTCTTATTATAAACCAGTTTATAATATTGGTATTTCGATTTATCATACTTTAGTGGGTTTTTTATTACGATGAAATATGTATCCAAATTCTCTTATTCATTTACGACATAATGTCTTTTACAGCTTGAGAGATCTTGGGAGGCATCTATTCTGACACCTAGAACTGCTACGTGACCAGTGAAAATGTTTGGGAAAATAGTAAGTTAACAATTTTGTCCATTTCATCATGCAGATGGGAGATGGTTATATGTATGATATTAATAGGCTATATATGTAATGAAGGCAATTCCATATGCATCTCATATTCTCCCTGGAAATGTGCTAATTTGAAACAAAAACATAACTTTATGATTATTGAACCCTTTATGAAGATGGAAAATACTGAAAATTGTTGGTTGCTTTGATAGCAAAAGTGTGAACAATATGTCAGTACCCTAATTGCTACCAGGGGGGCACGGGTGGCCCAGTCGTCTAAGGCGCTGTGATTCGCTGTGCAGAGTTGCGTCCCTTGGGCACGCCAGAAACCTATGATTGTTGGTTCAAATCCCAGTTCGCCCCGATTATGTTTCTAGGTTTGTCAGCACCATACCCTTGCTCCTGGGTTTCACCGAAGTGGTAAACATCTGAGACCTGCATCACTTTGGGCTTTCCACCCACATTAAGCTGACACGCGGTGATATAACTGGAACACTATTCAAAGCAGCATTAAACCCAACTCACTCACTCACTCACTATTGCTACTACAAAGCCCTAGCTATCAAAGGGAAAGTGGAATCTTTGGTGGAATGAGTGGCACGCAAAACATTGACAATTCTTTGTGATATGCTGCTTTTTATATATGAGATTCTTTCAAATTCAGGCATTTTTCTTGGCTGGTGTCTATGCAGGCATATTTGCAGATCAACACTACACGGTAATTATTCAGCTACTTGTTAGATTGTTAGAATTATGTTGGGTAATTTCTAATCTTCTATACCTTGTCTGGACTAACCAGACCTGTGGTTAGTCACATGATATATTGTTTAATACCAATAACAACAAAACTCGTTCCATTACCAGTTGGTAATATTCGCTTTTGTTTCTGACTATGCAAATATTCCTTCTGACTTTTATATTCTTTAGGAAAGATATAGCTTCAGTCTACTTCAGTGTATGCATAATCACATCATTTTACATGTATCTAAATAGATTTTGCCAGGGCTCCAGTAAAACAGTTCCCAATCGGACATTTTGTTCTCAACTCTTGAGGATGTTGAGACCTACAGTGGATACCCGGGTTGTAAATGTGGACTCGTCTAAGTCCTACTCCATGCCGATTGTCTTGGCTGACAATGATGTCTTATCTGTTTTGTATTCACAGTTGCCCCGAGTTGATAACCCTCAGGATATCTGGGCCAAAGTGAAGGAGTTTTCAGAAAAATACAAGAAAGATGATTCCGGATCTTCAAAGGACTAGACAACCAGGGAACACACAAACACACTTGTAATAAATCTGTTTGAACGGTACGCTGGTGGACATGAATACTGATGTCGTCAAATCAGGGAGTGCTAGTGATTATTTCAGTATCAAACCACCTTATTTCCCCAGTGTGCAGATGTGCTCCTGTTGCTATGACAACACAGTGATGACCGTGGACCTGCTGGTTGCCCTCTGTTCACTATGTGCATCATCACAGCTTCCTGACCTACATGAGGGTGGCAGTATTTAGTAAGTTTATGTTTAGTTTGGCTTAGCTATTCATAGTCTGATAACGCACGAGTTCTGAAGCCACTATCAGTTTATAGACCAAGTTTGCTGCATATCTTTGGTGAGGGTCTCTAGTCATTCCTTGGTTGTCATAGCAACACATCCCGATATACACCTGAAAAATAATTAAGCACCCCTAACTGTATAATTCCACATAAAATAGCAAATTTTAGAAATCGTCTCTTGTATTTGTTTCTGACAAAACATATTTCTTAAAAAATTACGTTTACAAAGTGACGTACTCAGGGTAGACATTGAGCAAATCTAACTGGTCTGCAGTTCATTTTGGACGAGTGGTTTACGTAAGATAGCTAGATTTTGCAGGAAACCAACTAGTCAATTTTTACTAGTCTCAGACTAACAAGACCAGTATCGGTCTATCACTAGTACGGATTATGTCATGACTTATTTTTTAACTATTCCATGACAACAGTTATTTGATGACAAATCTCAATGGCTTCGTCTACTTCCCTGCATCTGTTTGTGCTGACTTTAATCAGGAATTGGTCGTATCTTATATATTTAACAAAAAGGTTATTGTCATATGTAGGTATCTCCAAACATATAAGGTATGAACATAAAGGAGTGTTGCTTAACTTTATTCCAGGTGTATATTTTAATTATATTTGTCACGACACGAGCCGAACTCATAACCTGTCACATCTGTTAGGGTGTCATGTAACACTTGGCGCCAGTCCTCCATCCCCACTGTAGTTACTCCCCTTGTTGAGGTTATCGCTAAGCCTTATGAGTATTGCATTATAAGACCATCCACTACCATTAACATGATGAGGCCACACATTTTATTTTTTCGTGTCACGGGTCCGTCGCCCTACTAAACATGCTAAAAAGTAGCAGGAACAGAAATAAATTAATCATAAAAATATATATTTTTATTGTCTCTCGCTAGTAATATAGTCCCTCTTTTACAATAAAAATGTTTATATAATTCCACGTGTACATCACTAGGAGTGATTCAAGAAGCAAGCTGCAGTATGACTTTCATATAAATAAATAAATGATTGATAGCTATTTATTTTTTTTGTTTCGACCAACCTTATATGGAGCAGCTGAAATAAATCTGTAAAACATAAAACTAAAAAAGTGTGGCCTTATCTTCTGGGTATATTTCACCCATGGTAGGGAATATTAACTTGGATGGTTGAAGAACTTATTTGATTCCCCTTGTCCCGAGCCTTGCATCACGACCATGTAATGTCAGGTGCATCCTTACTGCGAAGAAACATCCACACTTCAAAATTCATATTTACCATGTTTGCATTTCAATATGGCTACCAACATGACCAAGTTAGCATGTTTAAGGCAACAAGAAATAATCATACTGAACTGAAACTGAATTAACTCCCTTTATTTATATTTCATATATCATGTAAAAACAGACAGGTAGGTCTGTATATCAAGTAATTAAATTAGTTTGGTCACCTTTTTTTTTTTTAAATGTTTGGATGTGCAATTTTTTATATATATATTTTTGTCCTTAGGTTTGTTTGAGACATAACAAAAATCACCCCCTGAACTATATAATGTCTACATCCCTTGTGATAGCGGACTGTTTCCATTATTGGTTCTAGTGATACTCAGGATTCCTTGTAGAAAATCTTTGACACGTATTGCATTGTGAGATTGATGTGTGGATGTTAGTTAAGTCAACATGGTAAGGAATTTTTAGATGAAAAGAGAGAAATTGAATTTAAAAAACTAATCTCAATTTTTTTTAATATTCACTAAACATTCACATATTGTTTGGATGTGCAATAGACATAATTGTTTTAAAGGTAATGGTTTGTGATCATTACTCTCAGAAATTAGATCTGATGTTTGAATATCATTTAGTCATATTTTTTTTATTGTGATAAATAATATCGGAGTAACTGAGGAAGAGAATTTGTACATAGACAATAGAAGTGAATAAAGTATTTCAGAATGTGCTTGATTGCGTTATATAATTTTTGCAGTGTATGTAAAATGTCAAAGTTTTAATATTTGTTTGTTTGTTGTTTAACGCCGCACTCAGCAATACTCAGCTATATGATGTCATTCTGTAAATAATTGAGTCTGGACCAGACAATCCAGTGATTGACATCATGAACATCGATCCACGCAATTGGGATCGATGACATGCATCAACCAAGTCAGCGAGCCTGACCACCTGATGAGAATGTTGGGATGTAAAACATATTGGGATAACATGATTTATACATAGACATCGGTGAATTGTGATACTCTGTCTATTGAACACTTTACAATAAGCCTACCAATGCATTGATGTATGTTTTAATCCTGACAACTGATTTTTAAAAAGTTATATATATTATAAATTGCAATAAACCGACCAGAGCTATTTGTACCATACTGCCAATCACAAAAGAACATTTTCCCAAGCAGTTGCTACATTTTGGTAAGCAGTTGCTACATTTTGCTGAGCAGTTGCTACATTTTGCCAAGCAGTTGCTACATTTTGGTAAGCAGTTGCTACATTTTGCTGAGCAGTTGCTACATTTTGCTGAGCAGTTGCTACATTTTGCTGAGCAGTTGCTACATTTTGCCAAGCAGTTGCTACATTTTGGTAAGCAGTTGCTACATTTTGCTGAGTAGTTGCTACATTTTGCCAAGCAGTTGCTACATTTTGCTAAGGAGTTGCTACATTTTGCTGAGCAGTTGCTACATTTTGCTGAGCAGTTGCTACATTTTGCCGAGCAGATTTAGCAAAATGTAGCAACTGCTTAGCAAAATGTCGTCTTGTTGCATCATGATATAATTTATGTGGATTGGTGTAGTACCCCCTGTCTATACTACTAAATCTGATGACACAAGGCCATTAGTGCAAGTCTAAAATCACCAGTGATGTGAGGCACAACACAGTTGACTAGTTGATAACGTCTTGTTAGTCAGGGTGTATGGAGAAACTCAAGAGAAAGGGCAAATTAAGTTCCTGTATCTTGGTTCATAGCCCTAGTTTCATAGAGTGAGTGAGTGGGTGAATTGTACTGCCAAACTTCTATTAGTTATTTCACAATCTCATTAAAATCAGATCTCAGTTCTCTTAAAGAAAGATCTGAGGACATCCCATTACGGGTCACGTCAGAACGACCTTTCATCTGACCAATCAAAGCGTCGCTTACCAGATCATGAAAGTGACAGTCGGAATGTGTTTTCTAATCATGCAATCTCGAAAATGTTAAAACGAGGTATTCCGAACAACAGTTATGGCCCGTACGACTGATTCCGTAAAAATTATAGTCTATCTCTCGCTCCCGTGTGATAAACATTTGAACGGAGGAGGCGTTGCATAGTACGTGGGAAGCAGTGCCGTACAATCGCAACCATATATTAGACATTCCGGAATGTTTGTTTGTTCAGTTTTCAAAATTTTAATCGAGAACTGTGTCAACATATTTTTCAAGCGTAGTCTGAAATGGAAGTCGCCAGGTTGAAAAGAGTCCCGCAAAGCTTGAGAAAGCTGCTTTCTAATTGGCTGATGTCGACTTCTTGTTAGTCGTTTCAGTGGTCGGTCAAGGTTTCCGAAAGGTCGTTCTTATGTGACCCGTAATGGGATGTCCTCAGATCTTTGTTTAGCGGCAGCGAGAACTGAGATCTGATTTTAATGAGATTGGTTATTTCACTGCATGTCAGCATAATATGGGAACTCAGAGTGACACAACTTCTCAACTTTGGTGCCACCCACAGTCACAGGGGATTATTATTGGACAAATCCAGGCTTTCAGCTCCCAAAATCAACAGATCTGGGCACGGATGAGGATTAGTCGCATAGTGTTGTTTGGGTTGGCTTGTTGTTTAAGGCTGCATTCAGTAATATTCTAGCTATATGACGTCGGTCTGAAAAACAGTGATTGAATCCCTACAACTAGTTGTAGAGGGGGTCACAGTGCCGGAATCCCCACGGCTAGTCATAGATGTCGTCACATTGCCGGAATCCCCACGGCTAGTCGTAGATGTCGTCACATTGCCGGAATCCCCACGGCTAGTCGTAGATGTCGTCACATTGCCGGAATCCCCATGGCTAGTCATAGATGTCGTCACATTGCCGGAATCCCCATGGCTAGTCATAGATGTTGTCACAGTGCCGGAATCCCCATGGCTAGTCATAGAAGTCGTCACATTGCCGGAATCCCCATGGCTAGTCATAGATGTCGTCACAGTGCCGGAATCCCCATGGCTAGTCATAGATGTCGTCACAGTGCCGGAATCCCCACGGCTAGTCGTAGATGTCGTCACAGTGCCGGAATCCCCACGGCTAGTCGTAGATGTTGTCACAGTGCCTGAATCCCCACGGCTTGTCGTAGATGTCGTCACAGTGCCGGAATCCCCACGGCTAGTCGTAGATGTCGTCACAGTGCCTGAATCCCCACGGCTTGTCGTAGATGTCGTCACAGTGCCGGAATCCCCACGGCTAGTCATAGATGTCGTCACAGTGCCGGAATCCCCACGGCTAGTCGTAGATGTTGTCACAGTGCCTGAATCCCCACGGCTTGTCGTAGATGTCGTCACAGTGCCGGAATCCCCATGGCTAGTCATAGATGTCGTCACAGTGCCGGAATCCCCACGGCTAGTCATAGATGTCGTCACAGTGCCGGAATCCCCACGGCTAGTCATAGATGTTGTCACAGTGCCGGAATCCCCACGGCTAGTTGTAGATATTGTCACAGTGCCGGAATCTCCATGGCTAGTCATAGATGTTGTCACAGTGCCGGAATCCCCACGGCTAGTTGTAGATATTGTCACAGTGCTGGAATCTCCACGGCTAGTCGTAGATATTGTCACAGTGCCGGAATCTCCACGGCTAGTCGTAGATATTGTCACAGTGCCGGAATCTCCACGGCTAGTCGTTGATGTTGTCACAGTGCCGGAATCCCCACGGCTAGTCGTAGATGTCGTCACAGTGCCGGAATCCCCACGGCTTGTCGTAGATGTCGTCACAGTGCCGGAATCCCCACGGCTAGTCGTAGATGTCGTCACAGTGCCGGAATCCCCACGGCTAGTCGTAGATGTCGTCACAGTGCCGGAATCCCAACAGCTAGTCGTAGATATTGTCACAGTGCCAGAATCTCCACGGCTAGTCGTAGATGTTGTCACAGTGCCGGAATCCCCATGGCTAGTCGTAGATGTTGTCACAGTGCCGGAATCCCCACGGCTAGTTGTAGATATTGTCACAGTGCCGGAATCTCCATGGCTAGTCGTAGATTTTGTCACAGTGCCGGAATCTCCACGGCTAGTCGTAGATGTTGTCACAGTGCCAGAATCCCCACGGCTTGTCATAGATGTCGTCACAGTGCCGGAATCCCCACGGCTAGTCATAGATGTCGTCACAGTGCCGGAATCCCCACGGCTAGTCGTAGATGTCGTCACAGTGCCGGAATCCCCATGGCTAGTCGAGATGTCGTCACAGTGCCGGAATCCCCACGGCTTGTCGTAGATGTCGTCACAGTGCCGGAATCCCCACGGCTAGTCATAGATGTCGTCACAGTCCCGGAATCCCCACAGCTAGTCGTAGATATTGTCACAGTGCCGGAATCCCCACGGCTAGTCGTAGATGTTGTCACAGTGCCGGAATCCCCACGGCTAGTCGTAGATGTCGTCACATTGCCGGAATCCCCACGGCTAGTCATAGATATTGTCACAGTGCCAGAATCCCCACGGCTAGTCATAGATGTCGTCACATTGCCGGAATCCCCATGGCTAGTCGAGATGTCGTCACAGTGCCGGAATCCCCACGGCTAGTCGAGATGTCGTCACAGTGCCGGAATCCCCATGGCTAGTCGAGATGTCATCACAGTGCCGGAATCCCCACGGCTAGTCATAGATGTCGTCACATTGCCGGAATCCCCATGGCTAGTCGAGATGTCGTCACAGTGCCAGAATCCCCACGGCTAGTCATAGATGTCGTCACATTGCCAGAATCCCCATGGCTAGTCGAGATGTTGTCACATTGCCGGAATCCCCATGGCTAGTCGAGATGTCGTCACAGTGCCGGAATCCCCATGGCTAGTCGAGATGTCGTCACAGTGCCGGAATCCCCACGGCTTGTCGTAGATGTCGTCACAGTGCCGGAATCCCCATGGCTAGTCGTAGATGTCGTCACAGTGCCTGAATCCCCACGGCTAGTCGAGATGTCGTCACAGTGCCAGAATCCCCACGGCTAGTCATAGATGTCGTCACATTGCCAGAATCCCCATGGCTAGTCGAGATGTTGTCACATTGCCGGAATCCCCATGGCTAGTCGAGATGTCGTCACAGTGCCGGAATCCCCATGGCTAGTCGAGATGTCGTCACAGTGCCGGAATCCCCATGGCTAGTCGAGATGTTGTCACATTGCCGGAATCCCCATGGCTAGTCGTAGATGTTGTCACAGTGCCTGAATCCCCACGGCTAGTCGAGATGTCGTCACAGTGCCAGAATCACCACGGCTAGTCATAGATGTCGTCACAGTGCCGGAATCCCCATGGCTAGTCGAGATGTCGTCACAGTGCCGGAATCCCCACGGCTTGTCGTAGATGTCGTCACAGTGCCGGAATCCCCACAGCTAGTCATAGATGTCGTCACAGTCCCGGAATCCCCACAGCTAGTCGTAGATATTGTCACAGTGCCGGAATCCCCACGGCTAGTCGTAGATGTTGTCACAGTGCCGGAATCCCCACGGCTAGTCGTAGATGTCGTCACAGTGCCGGAATCCCCACAGCTAGTCATAGATGTCGTCACAGTGCCGGAATCCCCATGGCTAGTCATAGATGTCGTCACAGTGCCAGAATCCCCACGGCTAGTCGTAGATGTCGTCACAGTGCCGGAATCCCCACGGCTAGTCATAGATGTTGTCACAGTGCCGGAATCCCCACAGCTAGTCATAGATGTCGTCACAGTGCCGGAATCCCCACGGCTAGTCATAGATGTCGTCACAGTGCCAGAATCCCCA